CCTACACCCATTCTGCTCTTTCCAAATTCCAGAGGGAGCCAGTGTTCATTTGTGTATCCTTTCAGGAATGTGAGAATATATGTGTGTACATACAGCCACGTAAGTGTATTTTATCCTTTTTTATGAAATATGGTAAACATATAAATGAATATCTTAATACATAAATATCTTAACACTTAAAATCTTAACACCTAAAGTACAAATGATAGTGAAACAAATGCCTAGACCAAGACATAGAACACTACCAATAGCACACCCAAATACACCTCTTCTTGACAATGTCCCGGGACAGCCCATGGCCTGTAGATAAAGGAGCCAGGTTCTACATGGCCAACCATGTGGTTAGAGTCCTAGACCCATCAGCCTGAGAAATATGCTGAGCACGTGGGCTTGTGTGTTCCAAATCCCAGAAGTAGGGAGAAATGGAGGATAAGGGATTGCAGCATGACTGTTACTCATAGGGGTTTCTTCCTTACACCTTGCCTTCCCTCTAGTGAGTACATGCATCTCTGGCAAATTAAAAACAAACAATAATATCGCTTTCCTCCTCTCCACTGGTAAACACATAATTCAGAATAGTGGTTTTCACTGCCTAGCTCTTCTCTGGAGTTTTGTCACAGGTATACAATCTCAAGAGCTTATTTTAGCCCAGTTTTAAACTTGACATAAATGGAATCATATGGAATTTATTCTTTAAATTGGATTTTTTTCCATCAAACATTATGTTGTGGAGATCCACCAGTTTTGATGCACATGGCTATAACTTTTTCTAGGGTTTTTTGTTTTGTTTTTTAAATTGCTAGATGGCAACTGCGCTTATCAGAGAGAGAAGAGGTGCAGAAGGCATGGTTATGCCACAATCCCTTCTCCATCTCTCTATCCTGTTGGGGTTCTTGGCAGGCATGCAAACATGCCAAGTCTGGTTTTCAAGCTGCAGGGGCCAAAGTTTAAACCACAGTGGTTTTGTGGGTTCCAATTCCTTTAACTATTAGGCTGTGAGGCCAGCTTGGCTATAGATTTTTATTTTCACTGTGTTATTCCACTGTATTACTATCACACAAGTGGCACATTCTACGGTCTCAAGACATTTGGTAGTTTACAGATTTTTGCTATACGAACAATATTGCTATCTATCATTACTGGGATCTCCAGATGCTCATATGCATGTTTCCCTAGCGTACACAACTAGGAAATGCTATGTCATAATGTGTACATATCTTTGATTTACTAAGTAATCACAAATGGTTTTTGAGGAAGTTATACCTACTTATTTGCTGCCAAGAGTTTCTTTTGCTGTAAAACCTCATGAATAAATAATATTACTCAACTTTATAGCCACATGGGAGTATAAAGTCGTATATTATTAAGTTCATTTTTAAATTTGAAGTTTTAATTTATATACATTAAAATACTATCTTTTGGGTCAGCACATGGCATAGTAGTTATGTTGTTGGACTACCACATGGCCAACTGTCATTTGAGTCCCAGACTCAGTGGCTTGAAAATTACATGGGCTGCATGTGCTTGCATGTCCAAGATCCCAGAAAGAGATTGGAGGAGAAGGGGTGCTGCGTGGCCATCTCCCCTGGGGGGTGATTTCTTGCTTCCCCTCTTACTGTTGCTGTCTCTCTCTCACTGGTGAGCACATGCACCCTATGCAAAACTTCTTTTTTTTTTTTAAAGTTATCTTTTAATTCATCATGTTGGTAAACTAATGGAGAAAAACCACATGATCATCTCAATAGTTGCAGAAAAAGCATTTGACAAAAATCAATACTTAATAATGGTAAAAACACTCAGCCAACTAGAAATATAATTGAAGAATTCTCTCAACTTAATATAAGTTATCTAAAAAAACCTATAGCTAACATCACACTTAACGATGAATCAAACCTTCCTCCCTTAAAATCAGGAACAAGGTAAGGACATCCATTCTTACCATTTGTATTCCACATTGTAGTGGACATACTAGCCAGCGTAATAAGACAAGAAAAAAATAAATAAAAGGCTTAAAGATTGAAAAGAAAGAAGTAAAATGGTCTTTATTCACAGACACATGATCACATGGGCAGTCTTAAAAAGTTCATGGAAAAAGCACACTGAAAAAAATTGCATAGATTACAAAATTTTTTTCCACCAAAATAAGGTTATACTTTAATTCCACTTTTCAAAAAACTTTTTGAAGTCCCCTTCTATGTAAGAAATTCTAAAGAATCTACAAAAAGCTACCAGAAGTCAAAGTGAATTCAATAATATTAAAAGATACAAGTAAAATATGCAGTATATAAAATATATAAAAATCCATTATATTTATATATATATATGGAAAATAAAATTAACAAAATAAATCTACTCACAATAGCATCCAAAAATATGAATTAATTACAAAGGAGCATGAGGAATTTTAGGGACATCTAAGATAGAAATTCCATCTTGATTGTGGTAGTAGACAGATGTTTATATTTTTCGAAATTATGGAATTGTCACATTTAAAATGGGAACATTTTACTGTATGTACATTGCACCTCAGTAAAGTTGGTTTTTAAGAACATGTGATCTTTTTGGGACCAGCAGTTAGCGTAATGGCTATGTCGCTGAACTCTCATGTAGTTGACTGTGGTTTGAGTTCCAGATCCGGTGGCTTAAACTCACGCCGGGCACGTGTGCATGCGTGCCCAAGATCCCAAGAGGAGAATGGAAGAGAAGGGATTGTGGTGTGGCCATCCCCCCGGGGCGTGATTTTTAACTTTCTATCTCTCTGTCTCTGTCTTTCTGGCAAGCGCATGTGCCCTATAGCAAAAACCTCTCCAAAATTAAAAAAAGAACATGTGATATTTTTAACAATGGAAATGTATATATTCTACAAGTTGTTTTTTCACTTAATCTAAGTCTAAAATTGTTTTTCATCCATCAGAGAGCTACTTCATAAGATACTCCAATTTTAACCTACATAGTTGATATAATGACTGAATATATGAATTTTTTTTTCAAAAATATCACAAAACAACTTTTTATTTTACCTGAATCAGCCTCGGTCCCTTCTACATTTGAAGATAAAGTTTCTTCAGCAGTGCTACAGCCGTTAACATTTCCAAAGGTAATCCGTGCATTTAAGACATGAAACAAGGGTATTTCTAAGAAAATAAAAAGTTCTTATAAATGAACTTACCTGAGAATAATAATAGTTATCATTGGGCTAGAAGGTGGCATGGCAGTTAAGGTCCTGGACTCTCACATGGCCAATTGCAGTCCAAGTCCTAGACCTGGTAGCTTGCTTTCTCACTTTCCCTCTCCCTCTTATCTCTCTCTGGTGAGCACATGTGCCCTATAGCAAATTTTAAAAAATAGTAATAAATAAAATTAAATCATATTTATTTAAAAATAATAATCATTTAATGAGTGTTTACTATGCTAGTACCATAACAAATATTTTTTTATAAAGTTGATCTTATTTGGACCAACAGATGGCACAGTGGTTACATTGCTGGGCTCCCACGTAGTTGACCATGGTTTGAGTCCTGGACCTAGCAGCTTAAAACTCATGCTGGGTACATGTACATGCATGCCCAAAATCCCAAGAGGAGAATAGAACAGAAGGGATTGCAGCATGGCCATCCCCACTGGGGGGTGATTTCTCACTTTCTGTCTCTCTGTCTCCAGTGAGTACATGTGCCCTATAGCAAAAATCTCTCTTAAAAAAAATAGGAAAAAAAAAAGATTAATTTCATTTAATTCTCGTAACAACCTTCACCAATATACACATGGGAAAACTAAGATTCAGAGTTAAATATCTTCTAGATTACAGTGAGTAACTGATAGAGCCAGATTTAAGTGTCTTGAATATACAACTTTCCAAAATTAAAATTCTTCACAATAATATGTATTATATCTAGCATTATGCCTACTAATTCAGACCTTTATATACAGTTAAGTATCGAAAGTGACAATTGTCTTCCTCAAATAATTATCTAATTTAACGTTTCATTTAAGTAATGTTTGACATTAAAACACCAATATATCGGGCCAGCAGGTGGTGCAGTGGTTAAGGTGCTGGCCTTCCACATGGCTGACCAAGGTTTGAATCCCAGACCTGGCAGCTTGCTTTCTCACTTTCTGTCTCTGTCTCTCTTCTCTCTGGTGAATGCACATGTAGTATTACAAATTAAAAAAAAAAGAATAACAAATTAAATAAATATTTTTTAAAATACCAATCATATCTTTATGCCTTTCTACATCTGTCAGCACCAACTATATATAGAAATGATAGTTGGGAATCTCCTTTGATATGCAAGATGAACCAAGAATCATGACTTGGATCATGATTCATAACATAAATAACTTATTTAAGAATTATTTTATTGAGACCAGCAGTTAGCGTAATGGCTATGTCGCTGGACTCCCACGTAGTCGACTGCGGTTTGAGTCCCGGACCCGGTGGCTTAAACTCAGCCGGGCGCATGTGCGTGCATGCCCAAGATCCCAAGAGGAGAATGGAGAAGGGATTGCGGCGTGGCCATCCCCTCTGGGGCAGGGGTGATTTCTCGCTTTCTATCTCTCTGTTTCTCTCTGTCTGTCTGGTGAGCGCACGCGCTCTATTGCAATAAAAAACCTCTCCCCAAAAAAAGAATTATTTTATTTAACTTTATTTATTTATTTTGATTTGACCAGAGAGGGACATAGTGAGAGAGAGAGAGAGGGAAAGTGAGAAAGCAAGCTGTCAGGTTCGGGACTTGAACCACAGTTGGCCATGTGGGAGTCCAGTGCCCTTAACCACCACACCACCTACTGGCTCCATAAATAACTTCTTTAAGTCAAATTAAATCAAAGGGTAATTTTGACCTCCTTTGTTATTTCTGTCACATGCTACTTTGTACTTAAAGTGCTCCAATTCCCTGATGCACATTCTGTCACTCAGGAAAGCAGGCAGAACCTACGAGCGCTCCTGAGGTTTGTTGCATGGTACCTATTTTGACAGGAAATCCAGGTGGGAATTCCAACTTGATGAAATCTCGCAGTCTTGCAAAATGAGCGCTAGTTCGAGCCATTAGGTCAATGATGGGAATGACCTGCTCCACGAGAGAAAGGGGAAACTCTTCACACATCCACAGCATCGCTTTAAACCTGCAAGATTCAACCAAGAGAAGAGCGAGGCCATCTCCACCAGCTGATGAGAGCAGAGTATTGTGCTGCTGTGTAGTAGGCTAGACCACACTAGCCTTAATTCCCACTCTTCCCAGCTAGCTTTTTCTTTTCTTTTTTTTTTTTTTGAGAGAGTTTTTGCTATAGGGAGCATTTGCTTGCCAGAGAGACAGAGACAGAAGGCAAGAAATTACCCCCCAGGGAGGACAGCCATGCTCCAACCCCTTCTCCTCCATTCCCTTCTCTGGATCTTGGGCACACACACACGTGTCCAGTGTGAGTTTTAAGCCGCTGGGTCTGGAACTCAAACTGCAGTTGACCATGTGGAAGTCCAGCGACATAACCATTACACCATCTGCTGGTCCCTCTCCTCACAGCTATCGTAATTCAAATGTCTTAAAGGATCAGAACCACGAGGGAGATTACCCCGAAAGCTGGCAATCATGGGAAATGGCCTGTACTACTCCCTCTCTGCAGCAGCTTCACCTGACAAGCATGAAGAAATTGATAGCTGCTGGAGACCATTTTATTTGACAAACAGCAACAACTATATACATAGTCAGCAACAACAATATGTGTATATGTGGCAAGCCCTGGGGCCTAGTGGTTAAGGAAGCCAGATCCCATGTAGCCAACCACAGTTCAAATCCCAGCTTCGGTGACTTGAAAAACACACTGGGCATGTGTGTGTGTGTCCCAAATCCCGACAGGATAGAGAAATGGGGAAAAAAAAAGAAAAAAAAAAAAAAGAAATTGCTGTGTGACCGCTACAAACTGGGGAGTTCTCTCTCTCTGTCTCTGGTGAGCACACATGCCTTCTTAAAACTGTAAAACTTAGGGACCAGCAGATGGTGTAATGGCTACATCGCTGAACTCTCATGTAGTCAACCACAGTTCGAGTCCCGGACCTGGTGGCTCAAACTCACTGTGTGTGTGTGTGTGTGTGTGTATATATATATATATATATATATATATATATATATATATATAAAATATGTGGAATTTTTACATATAATCTATATTCTACTTGGAAATGGGTGAACAGGACAGACCATCTACTAAGTATGACAAAGTATCAGAATTCCCATATAAGGCCCAACCAGTGGCATAGTGGTTAGTTAAGGTGGCTGGATCTTACATGGCCAACTATGTGGTATGAGTGCCTGTGTGCCCCAAAATTCTAAGAGCACAATTTCCACTGCATATTAATATACTGCAATTCCCCATTTCCATGGGGAGGGGAGAGGTACCTTCTCACCTGAACCCCCCCATCTCTCTTCTGCAAGGATATACCTTAGAGCAAATTTTTAAAAAAATTCTCATAATAATTATGTCTCACAAAAACAAATATTTTCCTTAAACTTCCCTTTTTCTTAAAAAAAAAGGGAGAGAGGAATAGTTGAGATACAATTTATATGTAATAAGTGTTGACCTTTTAAAGTAAAAAGGCAGTCTATTGTTAGCATTAATCAGATAAAGTAACTTAAAAACAATTTTTAAAGGAAAGGAGCAGAGAATGATCAAACAGAACATCATAAACAGCATATCTTCTGAAACGATTCCTACATTGAAAATGGCAGCTGAATCTCTTACTTTTGTGTCCTAATTGTCAGCTCTTTCGGCCTTCCTATGTCCCTGTCTTTCAAATCAAACTCTTCATCGAAGTACTCGTCAGGCGTGATGGCTGTGGGGTTGTTTGCGGTGGCACATTCTGTGGTGAGGTCCTTAAAGACAGAACTCAGGAGAGTCAGAACATCAACTGAGGCTCACACTGGAAGCTTCGAGCACTCGCTCTGAGGTGGGCATGTTGTCACCCAGCTACAGCTCGGGAAGTTCTAGGCACTGACTTTATTACTAAGTCACTCTGTGGGACAAGAATATCTACAAAGGTGCTCTCAAGCTACATGGCAGGTCGAATGGACTTCTCCATTTTAAAACAGCTCTCAACTCTTTGGATTTTTATCTCCTGATTATAGAAAAGAAAAATGAGAGTGACAGAAATATCAGAAAGTGCATGAGATTTGAAAGATTTGGAGTTTACCTTCCAGCTCTGTCACTGTCGAACTTTGACAATGGGAAGGTAATTTCATTTTCTGACCCTCAGTGACATCCACTGTAGTAATAACATAGTTATTGTGAGAGTCAAATAAGAAAATGTTTAATGTGTTGTTACAACATAAAATCCTGAACCCTGGTTAAGTTCTCTTTTTAGAGATGCCGCTGGTTTCTAGTAAGAGAGAAAGCACCTGATTTTACGATCACTACCTCTCCTCTAAAAATCTTTATTCTCAAAGATTCACTTGTTTAATTCTCTCCCGAAAGATCAGCTTGAGAGCACTCTATAGCCTTTCAAATACAGTGGCCCGTGCAGTAAATGCCATCACAAGCGCAGAAGTCTTTTCCTTTATTGACCTGTGCTGAAAACTAGTTGCATCAACTTACCCCTTGAGCACCAAATTGATGTTCCACAGTTCCCAGCAAAGATTCCAGTGGGTTCCTGTCCGCTAGAGAGGGGGAAAATGTTTAATGTCGAATATTATGTCTTGTTGGGACCAGCAGATGGTGTAATGGTTGCATCGCTGGACTCACATAGTCAATCACAGTTCAAGTTCTGGACCTGGCGGCCTAAAACTCATGCCAGGCACCTGTGCGTGCGTGCCCAAGATCCCGAGAGGAGAATGGAGGAGAAGGGATTGCGGCGTGGCCATCTCTCCTTGGGGGTGATTTCTTGCTTTCTGTCTCTCTCTGTCTGGTGAGCACATGTGCCCTAGAGCAAAAACCTCTCTCTCAAAAAAAAAAGAAATATATATATA